ATCAACCATGTAACTTTTTCTCTAGAACGAAAACGTGAAAAGTGAAATTTTTTATGTGATATATGTATACGTACGAGGTCTGATAAAAAAGTATAGTTTAAAAAAAATCGCCTTTTTCAAGTTGCTGGAAAAAAACCGGAAAAATTCCCGTTTTTTTTTCCGAAAAATTGGTTTTTTTTGGAAAAATTGTTGTTTTTGCAATATATATAACATGCTATTTAATTTTTAATGTTCTTCATCAAATTAATGTGATCCAAAAAGTTGTGTAATCTTATTTTTGTTAAAATTTTTATTTTTCCTTCTATTTTTATAGTAAAATCTAATTTAACCTTCCTATGGTGCATAGCAAAGCATTATAAGTACACGACTGCGTATTGTACTGCGCAAGTGGTTACTATAGATACATCACGTAGGTTAGATCAGTTAGATTAAAAAATTTATAATTTTTTTTCATTCTAAAAACTTTATGTGATTCGTCTTAATCTGTACATTACAAAATGTGTTAGATTTTGTTTAAATTAGATATAAGATTACAATTAATTCTCATATTTTATAATGTTATTAAAATAAGATACTTCGTTCAAGTATATTGAAATTAATATTGAGCTAACTTTAATATTTACGTTTACAATACTACATTACTTGATGTGAAATTTATTTATTATTAAACAAACTAATTTAAAAATAAATGTAATCTTAACAACTAGTCTGAAGAGTAATTTAAGTTAATACATATAACAGTATATGTTTCGTATTTTTATTGAATAGGGTAGACCGGGGAGTAAAGGTCCCCGGGGAAAAAGGTCCTTTGTATCTCGATAATAAGGCATTCACTAGAAAATTCCGCCACGCAGTTCGTCAACTAAGAGTGAGAATCTTATGTCACACAGTTCGTTACTGCCTAATAACCGTCAGGAAACTTGCACGGATGTGCTTATGTGTTTGAGAGCCAAAAGTAAGATATTAGCGCCGCAGTTATTTTGGTCTGAAGGAATCATTTTTGCACCTAGATAGATTAAATAAGTGTATTTATTAATCTTATTCAATTGTTTTAACAGTGTGATTATTAGAATTGTTATTTCTATTATAGTTTTTTAATAACAATGCCGCAAAGTTTACGTGACTTGTTGGGGTAAAAAGTGCCATGGTTGTTGGGGTAAAAGTGCCATGGTTGCTCTGTATTCGTTAATGTTGATTCTATGACAAGTCGATAATCCTAGTCGATAATCTTATCAGTGAAGTTGACCAATAACCAACAGTACGAAACGTTACCGATTACTTTCGATTATCGACTCATCGTAGAATTAGCATTAGTGGTGTTCGTTACGTAGAGAGACAGATAAATTATTCAGAATGCGACTTTCATCTCCGATTTCGATGAAATTAGGCTTATTCGACGCGTCTATATTACTGTAATAATGATGACGAATGATTTTATCGCTTAATTATCTTTTTATAACAAATATTTTTTCAAATTCGTTATAATCATCCATTATTGGAAGACTGATTTAATTTTTTATTAAGGTCAAAAATCAAAATGACTTAAAAAATCAAGTGTTAAGAGGAAAGACTATTCTTATTTGTTTTCGAGCACGATATAGTGCTAGTTTTGTTTCTTCTTTTCAAAGTTTATCTTAGGTTATGAAAACATTAATAATTTAATTTTCTGTTAAAACTGAAATATTTCTATTATAATTTTGTTACGAAAACCCTCTTAATAATAAAAACCCACCTTATAATAAAAAAACTCTCTAGTATATACCTATATTTTTATCTCTGAAAATAGTTCAAACGTAATTTATTATAACTGGTACTTTTTACCCCATTATGTGGAACTTCTTGCCCCACATATGGGGTAAGAAGTGCCGAATAACTTCCTCTGTAAAATTTACGATATCTTTGTAATGAAGGGTATATATGCATACTTTCTTGCATGTATTTTATAGTTAAAGGACTCTAGTTTCGAAAAATATCAACACGATCTGTGTGAGTTAAATATTCTTTATTTTATAGCAAAAAATGTCAAAAGTGACCCTTTACTCCCCGGTCTACCCTACATTATGGGACCTCAATTCTGTTAATTTATCCAAATTATGTCTGTGTATCCTATACGCAATTATTTTCTTTACAAAAAATCTAGAGCAAATGTGGTAGATTTTACGAGCACGCGTGAATTTTTCCAAAATAAATTTTTTTACCCTTGGGAAAAAAACCGAAAGAATCCGCGACGTGCGGTTTGCAGCAACTACAATTATTATAATTTTTCGAGTAACTGGCTTTTAAAAAATTGTTTACATCTCATTTAGTTTCAGAGTTATTGCTATTTGAGTGCAACGTATTTTAGTGTTCGTGGCGATTTTCGCCTTGAAATGAATTTTTGCAATTTTTGTCTCAAGGTCGAACAATCAATCGTCAGTATTACGATGGCGTTTTGAAAAGATTGTGCGAAAAAATTCGCAAAAAGAGACCACAGTTGTAGCGAGACAACTCATTGTTCTTTCACTATGACAATGCGCCTGCCCACTCAGCCTTGTCAATTCGCAAGTTTTGTGCCAAAAATCAGATGACTGTTCTCTCCCAATTTCTCCAGACCTTGCTCCCTGCGACTTTTTCTTATTCCCAAAATTAAAATCAGTTCCCAAAATAAAAATTCAGTTCGAGGCGAAAATCACTGCGAACACTAAAACACGTTGTACTCAAATAGCAATAACTCTGAAATTAAACGAGATGTAAACAATTTTAAAAAACCCAGTTACTCGAAAGATTATAACGATTGTAGTACTGCAAACCGTACGTCGCTAAGACGCTCCGTTGCCGAGTAATTCAAAAAGTTCGCTTATTTTTTTAACAGACATCTTATATACGCAACAAATACAAAAATTTTCACTTTTCATGTTTCCGCCCTAGGGAAAAGTTATATGACCGATACCTTGGTTTGCAAATATGTAGAAACAAATTTTCAGATTTGTTCTCTATTTTTTTTAAGTAAATATGGTCACTAAATATACAAGGTATCAAGCTGAGCAAAGAATATAAGAGCTAAACACTCATATTTTGCTATACTCTATTCTTTACTATCCCTCTACACTTATGTATCATCAAATAATCATTAAACCTTTTGCAATTCCTACAGTAATCATTTTATGTGGATAAGTCATCAACATAGCACAATCATATATCATTTCATAATATATAATTGCGCTACTTACTACGTTGACAAATCTATTTAACTAAGAGTAATTTCATTAACGATAAATAAACTGAATTTATAATAGAGAATTTATAATAGAGAATTTATAATAGAGGAAAGTCGCCGATAGGTCTCCTAAAGTGACACCCCCTTATTTTTCGGAAACTAACTATTGCACTTTATTAATACTAATAAAATCATGATCTGTTTAGCTAATTAAAGAAGTACAAACTCATTCATAGGTTTGTGGTTTGTTTCTATATCAAATTAGCTAAAAACGAATTCTACAAATGCGAAAATAAAATTCTTACGATTTTGTTTTGCAAATTGTGAGGTTTAAATAATAATGACTATATTATTGATAATATTAAATACTTGTCATTTTAAATACTTGTAGTTTCCGAAATAAGTTTTATTTATATTATTTTTTCTCTTAGTCTTTTCATAATACGATTTTTAATTTAAAATTGGGGTGCAGCGTAAACCGCCACACCTGTCCGTAAAACAGACCATGAGCTAACTTAATCTTTATAATGTTACTTTATAGTGTCAAATAAGTCTATTAATTGGAGCTGAAGGCAATCGTGCATATATGGAACAACTCTAGAAAAACTATCGCGTTACATATTTGCATCTTGCAGAACAGCATAAGTAAATATGCATATAATTCAATAAAAATGTTTTATAACGAAGTAAAATGATTCTGAAAAATCTTATATACATTCATTAGGTATTTTATACAGATAATTCCTGTAAAAGAAAAATAATAGGAATACGTAGCATTACCGCCTACTGTGTCAGTTTTGAAGCCCATTTTGTCAGACGCTCATTTTTGCTTAACTTACGAAAAAATTAATTATTGAAAAATTGCAAATAGTATTATAAAAATTGCTTATACTATCTGATAGAAGACAGTTTTCAGTTTGTAATTACGTTTTTAAAGTTTTATTTTTACCTTTTGTTTAAAAAATATTGTCTAAAAACAAAGCGGTATATTGGTATCGGTGACTTTCCTCTACAGTAATATAGTATAAAGGTATATAATAGAGTGGTTGTATGCAAATTACCTCCACACCTTCTATTTTTCTAACTTCTATGACGTCTCCATGCGATGTAAATATCATTTCATAATATATGATTGCTACTTACGACTTTGACAAATCTATTCAACTAACAGTAATTTTATTAACAGTAAACAAACTGAAATTATAATACAGTAATATAATGTAAAGGTATATAATAGAGTGGTTGTGTGCAAATTACCCCCACATCTATTTTCTTAACTTCTATGACGTCTCCATGCGATGTAAATACCGGAGTTTTACTCTGTATTATAAAATAATATGATGATATATTATGAAAATAACTGCAATTGTTGAATTCAATTGAATTAATAATAAATTTTAGACAATATATATAGCAATCAAAAAATGAGCAAAAAATACAATGCTCAATTAATTTGATGTATACAGTTATTTGTACAAAATTTATTGTTTTCAATTTTTGGTTTGCAAAATCAATTTTTATAAATGCAATTGATTCAATCTATTTTTTTTTTAATTTTCCATAGCCTTCATATAGAAAATTTATTTCAAAATTGTACAACATATATTGTATCTATTTTTTAATGAGGTGAGTTTCCGTTAACAACAAGACATAACCATCAGCTTTGTTGACCCGGGAAAGATAATTGATGACCCGATGAGCATCTTCCTCATACCTAAAAATGTAGAAGGGGACAGCTTTTATCTCGACCTTCTGCTATTTTACCAGGTCAAGATTAGTTAGTATTTCTGTGCTGAACATTTAACGATGTCATTTCTGAAGATCGTTCAGTTTACGATTATTCGTTCAACATGAAGCAGCAGTGGAGCATTAGTGAAAGTGAGCAATATTATTCGCGTCATTATGTTAAATGTAAAAGAGTGATAATTACTCATATAGTAATTATTAAAAATTTATTAAAACGTTTTGTTTAAAAGTTTACGGTCTTCATACGATAATATATTTTTATTCTAACTATTTTATTATTTTATTCTTACAAAGTAATTATTTGTTGTAATATGAAAAATTGTTGTGTACAATATGGATTTTTACGTATAACACACTTATTCAATTTAAATAAACGCACTTAATTTTTTTATTTAGTAGTCGAGTCTTTAAATAAATATGTTTATTAATATAAACATAATTATTTTGTAAATAAAATGTCTAAATAAATATAAATTTAAATTTATACAGATAATATAGAACTTTTGGAAGAAGGATTGTATCAGGGGAAACAAAAATGTATAAAGAAGATTATATTTAAAACCAACTGTTGCACGCGATTCATACTTTATCTCAAACTGATATTGTTATTAGAAGTGATATTATTCTTTGGATGGGGTTGTTACATGATCTCACAGACTTATCTTCTCAAAGTAATGGAAAATGAGCCTACTTGTATCACTCTGGAGAAATATCCACCAGTAATTGAATCACTGTCTGAAATACAGGAGTCACGTCCAATTGCAGAAATGCCAGCAATATTTGTTAAGTCTGAGATTATAGATAAGATAAATAATCTTTTAGAAGGCACAGAATTTATGAAAGACCAAAATTTAATGCAAAACGAGGCAATTGTAACCGATGCAACTAGTATGGTGCAAACAAATTTTCAAAATTCTGATAACGTACAACGTGACAATATAGTAGAAATATATAATATAAATAGATTATTAGAGACACTATTGTCGGGAAGTTTAGTACACAATGAAAAGTTTATGAAGAACTCGGTACCAGAAAAATTTTCTTCGATTGAATTCGCTGATGAAGACATTAGTACTTACAAAAAAAACAACTTTCTCCATTATGTACAATTTCTTCAGAAACTGCGAGATACAAGTAAAATAAAAGTAGTTAATGATTTAGAAAAATTCAAAAGCATAAATGATTTCACTAAAGATGCTGATTATTTGATATTAAAAAGTCAAGAAAATCGTGCATTAGATGCACCGAACAATCCCGAAAGTTCAGAATTTAATGTTGCACTGACCTCAAATCTTGAAAACTCTGCTGATAATGCAATCGGATATACAGATTTAACTTTGCAAGGTCTGAAATTTTTCGATTTAATCAAAGATGCGGTACAAGATAATAGTAATGAGGACAGTACTTTATCTGATGAGACCAATGAACAAGCAAAACGTTTCGAACCTACAGATTTAGATTTTGTTATGTATCCATTTTACGAATTTTTTTACGAGTCTTCTGATACACCAATAAAAGACTCAATCGAAGATTCTTTTACTTTTCAGCCTATATTAGAAGAAGAAATTTCGAAACAAGTCAAAAATAGGTCAAGTGACGATGTTGATAAAAGAAATGAAGATATACATGACACAAATGATAGCGATATGTTGATGTCAGCGTCTGTGTTCGAAAACCAAGATTATTTGGATACGTCGGTGATTACCATGCAAAGTACAGGAGAGCAACATTCGTCAGAGGAAAAGATAATAGAAAACGAGATATATGATGAATCAATGCAACCAACAATGCAAGATGGTGAATTCTCGACATCAAATGTTGATAAATTTCAGTGGTTTAATGTGCCCCCTCGTTTTGCAGATCTTGAATGGAAAGATATATCAAAATCAGATGAGGTAAGTTCATTATTCTGGGATACGTATAAGGAAGATGTCGACGACGTTATTCCAGAAAGTCAGTGCGAGGTAACAATTAAAATGGGTATTCTCAAGGTGAAATGTCCCACTATTAAGTTTGATGAAGAATGGAATTTTACTTCTTCCGAAATACCTCCAACTGATATTCCGAAAGTCACTGATTTTGGAGATATTTTTGATACTTTTTTACATACCCAATGTGACGAAGATGCAAATGAGCAATTAAAGATTGAAAATATTTCTAATGAAAATTTTAATGAGCAAGATACAACGTTGCAGGATAGGAGATCTAAAATAATCGATTTAATTGAATTACAAGAGAGCACTACAAGTGCAAATGACGCGTCGATGAATTTATTTGATGTGGCATTTATAGATCCTTCTGACAGAGGAAATAGCGATGAAAATTTTGCATTTTACAATTTCCCATTTTACGATTCAAATGAAGAAGAAGCAAAATACATCACAAGAGTATCTTCCTCTATTTCTAAATTCAGTTCCAATACCGTCGATTCAAACAAGGAACGAAATATATTTTTTGATATTTCTGACACACATCAACAAGAACAATTGAAAATCAATAAAGAGCAAGATTATTCAGTTTCTGATAATAGTGAAACTTTTTTGGAAATTTTGGAACATTTTTATAATTTGGAAAAGAATCTAACTTCTCTATTTAAAAATGAAATATCAAATATTATGGCGCGATATTTATCAAAAAGTTCTTATGAGAATAATTACCGGAATGATATTTGTAGTATTATTCGTTATATGCGTTCCATATCTCAACATTCATGGTATGATCAATATGTTTTAAGGAAATTCTTGGAACATTTACAAAATCCCGACTATCCACACATTACGGAAGATTATTATCATCGAAAGAAACGAATGACTGATGATTTAGCATGGCAAGAAGGTACGTCAACTAATACATTTAAAAAGTATATTACTTAAAGTATATTATTTGTCAAATTGCTTTGAAAAATTATATTTTACTTTATACAATTATTATAAATTCTTATATATCCTTTGAAGCAGTAGTTACATTACGTAAAAGAAATACATTTGATTCTTCATTTGACATTTTTATAATAAATATAAATTAATGTAATGTAATTCCAGATATATCTTTGCTGTTATTAATTTATTAAAAATAACATTACATTACAGATGAGATATCAAATACGTTAGAAGAAGACTATAATGATGTAGACTTATTAGAAAAATTGAAAAAAGTTTTCCAGAAAATGGAAATTCTTGCTCTCTGCATTGATAGACTTCATGAACGATATCTTCTTCACAATAAACTTGATGACGATTACGTTTCGAATGAATTTCCGATGGAAATGACTGAAGAATATCGCGAATCGTACACTTCGAGAATTGTAGACGAAAAGTAAACTGATAAAATGTACAAGTTTCTCCTATTTTTTGGTATGATATACGTATTTCTTTCTCTCTGTTTCTTTGTTAATTCAATACTTTATATAAATGATAAATAAATAATTTGTAAAAATATTATAAAATTTATTTATACTAATTATCACGTAGAAACTACCTTTTTAAAAAAAGGTAAAAAAAAGGCGCCAAGTGTTCATGTACCTTCCATAAAAAACTGTACTTTACATAAACTAAA